TACCACGCCCGGCTGATTTTTAATTTATTGTAGAGATGAGGTCTCATCAAGTTGCCCAGGCGGGTCTCAAAACCCGTGGGCTCAGGCAATCCACTCACCTCAGCCTCCCAAAAGGTCTGCCCACTTTTTAATGGGACTGTTTGTTTTTTCCTTTTGGCACATTTGAGTTTCTTATAGATCCTAGATGTTAGGCCTTTGTCACATATACAATTGGCAAATATTTTTTCCCATTCTGTGGGTTGTCTCCCTGCTCTCTTTTTTTTTTTGAGTTGGAGTCTCACTCTGTCACCCAGACTGGAGTGCAGTGGCTGCTCCCGGCCACCGCAGCCTCCACCTGCTGGGCTCCGGCGATCCTCCCGCCTCAGCCTTCCAAGTAGCTGGAACTACAGGCGTGCGCTACCACGCCCGGCTAATTTTTTGATTTATTGTAGAGATGAGGTCTCGCCAAGTTCCCCGGGCGGGTCTCGAACCCGCCGGCTCAGGCAATCCACTCACTTCAGCCTCCCAAAGCACGGGATTACAGGCTGAGCCACTGAGCCCGGCTGATGATTTTTTTTTTAAGTAAGACTTTTTTTAATGCACAGATGTGTGTCTAGACCAAAAGCAAACAAACAAGACCCACAACCAACAATCACACTGGGTCACCCAGAGAGCCCAGTGCTGCTCTGGGGACATGTTTCTAGTGGCAGGTGAGCATCCTAGGCAGCTGAGCCCCGGGTCTGACCCTGATGGCCAGACGCGGTGGCTCACACCTGTGATCACGGCACTGTGGGAGCTTACCTTAAAGGCTAAGTGTCCTAGCCAGAAAAAATATGAGCAAAGGGCAGGAGTGGTAATGGGCATACAACCCCTCTCAGAATGCTGAGACCTGAAGCCAAGGCAGGAGGATTACCTGAGGCCTGGGCAAAAGAGCAAGCCCTCCTCTCCCCAAAATGAGAAAAAAGGGGGGAGGGGTGGAATGCCGGAGCCTGCGCTTGGAAAATTTTACATACATTTTTTTTTCCTCTGTGAAGGAAAAGATTGCTTCCTCTTCTTTCTTTTGCCCAGTCCTCTGTCTCTCTGAATTGCCAAGGGAACCATGTTTGAGCACAGGTATCTGTCTGCTCCCTGAGATGCCCCTCCCTCACCCGTGTTCGGCCAGGACCGAGATTTACACATGTCAGAGTGTGGTGTCCTAGACCTTCAATATAACTGAAAGCCAAATACCGCCTGTGATTTACGTGACTCTCTTCTCTAAGAATAGGGGAAAATAAGGTGAAGCCGAGATGCAGACCCAAAGGGCTCACTAATAGCATCTGTGACCTCCCTTTTACTTAAGAGCACTGGCAGCTAGAAAGAGCAGCTCACCTAAATGTCCCTCCCTGCTTGGAGCATGGATTTGAGGTCAGCAGGGCCTGTTTTGGGGAGGCTGTCTCCCACCTCTGTGGCCGGGACACGGCTGAGGGCCAGGGCCTGAGATGAGGCACAGGGCATGGCCCCTGCTGCCTGCCTCAGCCGTCACCTCGGCAGGAGTCTGGAGGACCAAGGTTCGGGAATATACTGAAGACAGCAATGGCCGACAGGGCAGCGTGCAATCTGGGTGTCTCGTGGGGCTAGAAGGTGGCGTCTGGTACGAGCTGGCTAAAACCCTCTCCTCTGGCCTTCGCGGCCTCCGAGGCCCTGACAGCTGCCTTCTCGCGACACTGCCCCTGCCCCCTCCCCGGCAGGTGTCCACGGGGCTCTTCACCACACCTCTGAAGTCCACCGGGCGCCCAGGCCCTCCCTCCCCCTGACCCCCCTGTCTCTGTCCCCCCAGGGCCTGTGCTTTAACGGCAGTGCCTTCGTCTTGTACCTCTCTGCCGCTGTTGTGGACGCGTCTTCCGTCTCCCCAGAGAGGGACAGTCACAACTTCAACAGCTGGGCAGCCTCGTCGGTGAGTGAGTCCCCCATTCCCCTCCTCCTCCCTCCCAGAGGCCCGCCTGGGATCAGGGCCAAGTTACCCACAGGAAAAAGCACCCCTTGCAGTTGTGACAAATTGGGGCACTTGGCTGATTGGTTTGGAAACATCAGAAATGGTGGTGGGGGGAAGGTCCTGTTGGCCTCCAGTGGGAAGAGGGCTGGAAGACTCTGTCTGTGAGATGCCAAAGGACTGGGACGGGATAAGTATTTGAGAGAGAAACGTGCTCAAAGTAATTCTACTACCTACAGTTTATCAACGTGGGGGAAGGCTGCAGAGAATGAGCAGAACAGGATTCTATTTTTTTTTTTAAGCAGAAATATTTGTTTATGCAAACAAACAGAGAGCACTTAACAAAATACTTACCCATAGAGGCTCCTTCTGGAGCCTGGGATTGGGAAATGAAGGGGTGGAATGAGGAACTTATACTTTTTTTTTTTTTTAAGTTGGAGTCTCACTCTGTTGCCCAGGCTGGAATGCCGTGGCACACTCACGGCCACTGCAGCCTCCACCTGCCGGGCTCAGGTGATCCTTCCGCCTCAGCCTTCCAAGGAGCAGGAACTACAGGTGTGGGCCACCATACCTGGCTAATTTTTTTTTGTTTAATTGTGGAGACGAGATCTCACCAAGTTGGCCAGGCTGATCTCGAACCCTTAGGCTCAGGCAATTCTCTCGCCTTGGTCTCCCAAAGTGCTGGGATTACAGATGTGAGCCACCACGCCCAGCAACTTCTACTTTTTAATTTATATTCTTCTCATTGCATTTTAAGGCCATAAGCGTGTATTATTTTTCTAATTTAAAAATCTGATACTGTGCCGGGCTTGGTGGCTCAGCCTGTAATCCCGCATTTTGGGAGGCTGAGGTGAGTGGATTGCCTGATCCCACAGGTTCAAGACCTGCCTGGGCAACTTGGCGAGACCTCATCTCTACAAAATCAAAAAATCAGCCGGCCGTGGTAGCGCATGCCTGTAATTCCGGCCACTTGGAAGGCTGAGGCGGAAGGATCGCCGG